TTTCAAGAGGCAGATAATCAACAGTTCTCATATCTCTATTCAAGAGGCAGTTATTAATATTATTACATATATTTTGTAATAATATGTTGGAAAACACCTTTCAATAATAAACCAACACACGAGTTAACAATAAAACAAAGTTTTCACCATATATTCATCATCAAAGAGTTTACAAATCAAGATCAACCCATTTACATACAAAGCTTATGATCATCTACATCTAACCTTGACAAAATGAAGGACTTAGCTACTCATTTTCATGGTAGCTTGCACAAGAAGTTTCAGAAGAAGGTTGATCAACATCCGATTCGAAGAATCGAGTTTGGATGGGAATCCACCTTCTTTTTGGAAGATCTTGTTAAGAGATGAAGAATAGTGAGAAATTGGGTTTCTAGGTCACAAATATCTCTCTTAGAGCAAAACAAAAGAAAGTGGTTGAAAAGAAGATGAAAAATATATTTTTACAAAATGTAGCTCTTGCTACTTATAGAAAGAAAAAGTGATGTCCTATCTTGCTCGCTAGGCAAGCAGAATGGTTCGCCTAGCGAGCCCTTCGCTCCAGTGAGTTAGGGCCTTTTTGGTTCTGGAAGCACTCACTACCTGCTCGCTGAGTGCTCGCCTAACGAGTAGTTCGCTACCTGCCTCGCTCCAGCGAAATATGATCAATTTGATTCTGTCCAAGTCTGGGAGTGTTCGCTAGCAGCTCGCTACGAGCTCGCCTAGCGAACAACTCGCTACCTCTCTCGCCAGAGCTTCACCTAGCGAGCTTGCTTTTGCTTGCCTTCTTTCTTGATTCCTTTGTCATCTTTCTTGTTTCTTCCAATTCTACTCTTTCATGCCTGATTTCTGCACATTAACACCCAAATTAAAGGTACCAAGCTTATTTCACAAAATATTGCAACTTAAACAAAAGCAAGGGTAATTTTGAAACTTTCTGGACAAAATGGAGTGAAAGATGCCCACATCTGATAGCTCAAATAAGAAAAATTGGGCACAGGCTTTTCTCCTCATTTTTATTTTGTAGGTCGATGACGACACTTCTGTAAACCGTTATTAATCAAATTGTTGATGGATAATGTAGGATCCGAGACCACTTCTTTCTCTCCTCATTTTTCTTCTCCTTCTGATTTTATTTGGACTTTCTTCTATTTTAGTCCGTGTGACATGATTCAATTGGAGAATGATTCTCAATATCATTTCTCTATCTTGTCTTTGACACAGATATCAATACGCGACCTCCTATAATTTAACTTCTCTTATAAGTCGAGCTACGACGGTTTAGAGTTACATTGGTCCTGATTCGAGTTTGAAACATCATTATCAAGGATCAAAAGAGGAAAGCTTGAAAAGGAAGCTAGCACGCAAAGTCAAGGGTCAACGGAACCACTTTGTTCGGTAACATTGTTTCTTTTTACCATTTTGTCTCACCCTTGTTTGTGTTCTTGTGTGTTTTCTTTTTGTGCATTCTTTCTTCTTTCTCTTTTGCATCTCTCATATGCATGCTTGAGGTTGAGATGTGCTTGTGGAGGCTACTGCCCCATACTTTGTTCCTCCCTCACTATCATTCTACTTGTGCATTATGTGTTTGCATACTTGCATCTTTATTATTTTATGCTCCCTTCTTCTTCTTTATTCTTTGTCATGTTCCTTTAGGACCTCTAATCTCTTGAGATTATGATAGACCTTAGGCTTGAACCTATGCATGAGAACATTAGGTAGCATTCCCTTTCATCCCAACTCTAAGTCCACTTTGCATGACAACTTTTAAGTTTGAGTTAGTCTCCCTTTAGCGTGTCCTTTCTCTTCTCACCTTCAAACAATTTCAAAACACTTAATAAAGGCTAATGAATATTGTGCGTTAAGAGCCTTAAGTACTTGGGAAATGGTGATTGAGTGGCTTCCTCTCAATTACCTAGAGTGTTTAGTGTACACCCTTAGGGTGATATGCGACGCATTCGCTCCTAAGTCATAGTATTTAGTGCATCATGAGTTACAAATCAAACTCAAAACACTTCTTCTCTAAAAAACACAAAAACAAGTTCAAACCTTTTTATCCTTCGGGATCTTAATTGGAAAACCTTTTTCATAAGGAGAATTTTGTTAACTCCTAGTTTTACCGCAAACAGGTAATGCCTAAGTCTCCAATGGTCAAGCTGCACACACCTAACTGCTAGAACTAAGTTTTAACCCTACTCGGGTAAAACAGTTGAACCAACCGGTGTTCTCGTTAGCCCGAACTACGTTTGCTATGATTTCTCATACTATATGAGAATACATAGGCACAAGACAGCAATGTCTTGGCGAACAACCTTTCCCCTCTTTCACCCGTAGTTAGCTGAACTACGTTGACTCTGACTTTCCCATTGCACGAGGGAATACGTAGGCACAGAGCGGCGATGCTCTTCCGAGTCTCCTTTCTTTTCTTTTGTCCATGAGACCTTTAGCTAGATAGATAAACACACCTTTTAGCTAGACAACAAGTGTGGATCCCATCGAGTACGACGGACGTGAGGGGTGATAATACCTTCCCCTTGCGTAACCGACTCCCGAACCCGAGATATGGTTGCGATGACCTGTCTTCTCCCGTTATTGTCAGGTTTTCTCTGATCGTTTCCTTTTTCTCTTTTGGGATAAATAACAAACGGTGGCGACTCTTCTATCATTGCCGACACCCTTTTTCGCAGTAGCGACACAACTTACTTTCTAACCTATAGGTAGATTAAAGGCTCTTAGCACCTTTAAAATCTAAACACTAAGTGCAAGAAGAACAATCTTCTTCAATGCACACACTTGCTTTCAACAATCCTGAATAGTAAGGGGAATTAATACAATTTGATTTACAATGAGTTTGAAACTTGTGTATACAAAGTTATCAATCATATGATTCATCTTCTCTTTCAATGATAATTTCCACAATTGTTTAAGACTTTGTTGCTTAAGAACTTTCTTTCAAAGAATATGAAAATATGCAGAAAATTCTTTATGAAAAATGACTTGATTCAAGATGTGAAAAATACAAATATTGGTAAAGATTTTGAAAGAGGTTGTTTTTGAAAATTGAAAGTTTAGGTATTTATAAGTCACAAGCACCCCTTTGAAATATCATGCAAATCTTCAGAAAATATGATGAACAATTGTCTTGATTCAATGGAAACAATTCAAAGAAGAATGGTTGAAGAGGTACAATTTTTCAAAACAATTTTTCAAAAACTTTTAGTGAGCAATCGATTGCACATATAGACCAACCGATTGCACCTTCACAAAAAGCACTTGAAATTTGAATTTTGAATTGAGCAATCGATTGCACCAAAGCAGCAATTGATTGCACACTAAAACAATAGCAAAAATAAGAAGATTTTTTAAGTATGCAATCGATTACACCAAGGCACCAATCGATTGCACTAAAAAATAGTAGCCAAAATGAAGTAAAAATTTGATCATGCAATCGATTGCTCTGGAAAAACTTAGAAAAATCTTGCAAATAAAAGCTTGTGAAAGTGTTAAAAAGTAATGTAAATGGTTGTAATTATTTGAGCAACTAGGACTTAAATACTTGATGAAGATTTTCATTATACCTTCTAATGAGATCATTCTTCATGTCAAGTCTTTGTCCTTATTCTGATGTCTTGAAAATGATTAAACATCTTTGCCTTTTTGTCAAGTGGTTTGTCTTCACCAAACCATAAGTTGATCTTGAGAAGCTTGATTTCACATTCTCCCCATTTTTGGTGATGACAAAGCATTCTCTTTCGTTGCGATGTTCTTTCCCACAAAATTTCTCCCCCTGAGATATAGATCTCCCCTTTGATATATATATATATATATATATATATATATATATATATATATATATATATATATATATATATATATATATATATATATATATATATATATATATATATATATATATATATATATATATATATATATATATATATATATATATATATATATATATATATATATATATATATATATATATATATATATATATAGACAAGAGACAACAATTCAAGTATATAAATATATATATATAGACAAGAGACAACAATTCAAGTATGTATATATATATATATATATATATATATATATATATATATATATATATATATATATATATATATATATATATATATATATATATATATATATATATATATATATATATATATATATATATATATATATATATATATATATATATATATATATATATATATATATATATATATATATATATATATATATATATATATATATATATATATATATATATATATATATATAGACAACAGACAACAATTCAAGTATCATAACAACTAGTCATAGATTGAAAATGCAAAGTTCAATAAATAAGAAAAAGTGCAGAATCCAAAAAGTACATAGATAATAAAAAGTGTCGAATTAAAAAGTACATAGATATGAAAGATAAACATAAAAACATGTAAACAACTTAGAAAAGGTCCATGTTGGAGTCAAAAGACTGTTGGTTCAGAAAAGTTTGTTGGAGTGGTGATGAACGTGATGAGGGTACAGTCGGGTTTGATGGATCGTATGGTGGATTAACTGCCTCTTGAAAGTTATTGATCCTAGTGGTGGTGATGAGACAAATTTTTTTAACAAATGAATTTATAATTTAAGATAGAAAATATATCAATTATCAAATAAAATCAAATAAAATATTTATATAAAAAAAATTATAGATCAAAACTTTGAAACGAGTTATCTTACCGACTAGATATCATGACACGGACATCATATTTTTTGGAGTTTGTAGTTTGAGAACCACACATGCTTTGGTTGAGTTTCGTCCACTATGTGATAAAGTTAAAATTATCATCACAAAGTTTTTTCCAACATTCATTCTTGCTATAAGCTGTGTTCATCTCTTCTCTTCCTTTTGGTAACCATAATAAGCTGTTTCTTTTTTAGCTTAATTGGCATAATAACTTAAGCTACGTTGTTTCTTTTTATTGTGGTTGCAGAAGTATTGTAACATGTCTTCTCTAGCAACTGCAGAGATCTGTGACACAAACATAGCCCACCTATCAAGTGGTGATTTAAGGATACTTCATCCAGTGTTCCAGATGTACGGTCAGTCACAAGCCTTCTCAGGCCCAATAGTTACTGTAAAAGTGTTTGAAGACAATGTTTTGGTTAGAGAGCTTCTTGAAACAAAAGGAGAAGGAAGAGTTTTGGTCGTTGATGGAGGAGGAAGCATGAGGTGTGCTTTGCTTGGAGGGAATTTGGCGCAGTTAGCACAAAACATGGGTTGGTCTGGAATTGTTGTGAATGGTTGTGTTAGAGATGTGGATGAGATTAATTTGTGTCAAGTTGGTGTTAGAGCTTTGGGTTCTCATCCACTTAGATCTAATAAAAGAGGTTTTGGTGAAAAACATGTTGATGTTTATGTTGGAGGAAGTTTTGTTCGTGATGGTGAATGGCTTTATGCAGATAATGATGGTGTCATTGTGTCCAAATTTGAGTTGTCAATATGATATAATGCTAATGTTTTTTTAATTGGATTTCAGCTTTTAGCCATTGTTCAAGTGTTTGCGTTTAAATATTTAGTATCCGACAATATTGTTGCTTCATCAAATTGAATGTTATGGCTATCTTTGTGAATTGTTGGGTGGAACTCAAATATCCATCACCAGAATCTTATGTTGAATTGGTAATGGTAGAACCATGTAAAACATTTTTAGAAAGGGGGAAGATATTAAGAAAGTAGTAGTAAAGTAAAACATTTTCATAATCAATTCGCAGCTATAGGAGCTAGCCATATTTCTCTAAAGCTAAACTCTAAGAGAATCAGAGCAGTGGAAGAAAGAAATGGTGGAAGAGAGTCTTTGTGAAAGTTCGAAGAGTTTAAGTTCTGATGGAGTGAATTTTGGCTTTGCGAAAGAATTTTGGAATGATATCAAAGTTGATTTTATTAAAGTTGTGGCGTAGTATCATAATCACAATCGGGTAGTTAGAGGGGCAAACTCTTCTTTCTTAGCGGTTAATTCATAAGAAGAAGAATCTAATCAAAGTATGTGACTTTAGGCCAATATTTCTAATTGACTGCATTTATAAGGTTATATTAAAGCTTTTGGTAAACAGTTTTAGAAATGTGATCGAGTTCGGGTATTTACCTCAGACACACAATCAACTATTATTGTAGGAAGACAAATTCTTGATAGTATCTTAATAACAAATGAAATTGTAGATCAAGTCGGAAAAAAAAAAGGTGATTAAGTTCAAGGTAAATTTCGAAAAAGCCTATTATACATTGGTTGGATTGAAAGTTCTTCGACCGTGTAATGGTTAAGATGGAGTTTTAAAAAAAATGTTTGAAAGTCAACATCAGTGTCGATGTTGGTGAATGACAATCCTACTAAAGAATTCAATAGGAGAAGAGGTCTAAGACAATGGGGACTTGGTGTCCCCCTTCCTTTTTCTCCTTGTGACAAAAGGATTCAACATTCTCATGAAAGGATTGATTGAGTTGAGTAAATTCTCCATTATTCATATTTGATAGAGGAGAAGAAAATTTTCTGCATCTGCAATATAGGGACAATACACTAATAATAGACGAAAATTGGGAAAATGTCAGGATCATAAAAGCTAATTTGTTGTTAATTCAGATGATATTGAGATTAATAGTCAACTTTAGAAACTAATATCTTAATGTAAAATGAAAACTACTCCCATCAATTATCTAGAATTCCAATAGGAGCAAATCCAAGATCAACAACGACTTTGTAAATATTGACTGACACAGTAAGAAGTAGACTCTTCAAGGGGAAAACATCTTTTTATTGGTGGCCGAATGGTAATGATCATGTATCATTTTTAAACTTGAATCTATGTCCAAACAATCAACTACCTACCCATTACAATAAAATGCCACCATTTTTACTAATTTACCCTTCACTTCATTTTTTATTTAGACTACACTATGCCCTTTTTGGTAATTAACAAAATACACAACCATTGACCAATAGCATGGTCCAATTTTGCCAAGTGGCAACATTTTTTTTGAAAACTTTGTCTTCCCCCTTTCCCTCACTTTCTCCCTCTTTCCAATTTTCTTTCTCTCTTTTATCGTCTCCCTCTTTCTCTCACCTTCTCTCTCTTTCTCGTACCCTCCATTTCTCGTACCCTCCCTCATTCATCCTCGTCATTACTCCCTCTATCCCGTTTCAATTTATTTTAACCTTAAAAAAACCCTAAACTGACTCCCCCTTCTCCCTCGTCTCTCTTATGCTTCATTTCACCATTTTCTCTCTTCTCTCTATTTTCTCTGCAACCCTATAGTCAGTGAAGCACAGGTATGTTTTCTGTTTATCAATTCTGCATATATGAGATATTACTTAACTTACCACTTGATGTTAAAATCACACATTAGTTATTTGTAGAGTGATTATGATTTTTCTTATATGGTTCAGTATAAGAAAGTATTGAATTTGATCTCAATGGCTAAGAGTGAGGGTCCAACAATTTTGACTGGTGGGCGTCGACCTGAGGTATGATTATACCCTCGAATGTGGTATTGAATTTGGCTTAGTTGTGATTTGTAATTCGTTGAAAGAATTTAGCTTAGTTGTGATTTGTAATTTATCGTGTTTAGTTATTTAGAAGCAATGATGATTAACAATAAATCTCAGTATTCCTTAGCATCATTTAACGGTGGCTGGTGAGATCTTTGGATTGAAAAGCATAGCTGCATACCGCAGTGGCCTAGAAATCAATACAAATGTGACTAAACAGGATGTCGTGGAGGGTCTCACGCAGGTATTGCTAACAAAAATCTTATTGACTACATCTTCTTACAAAGTTTGGAAGTTGCTCAATCCTATGACTTGCCAATGCAGATACACACAGGGTAATGAATGATTTTCAAATGTCTGATACGCATGTTATTACATAGTTTCGGCTTGCCTGTAAATGTACTTTTACTTTTACCGAAATACTAAACTTTCCTTTCTGTAATTAGGTTCGAGGATAATGATTTGGATATGCGACTGTCGAATCCTCTTCATCTCCGTTCAGTTTTCAAGGACAAGAGATATTCAAAATCTCGGATTGTTCTCTTACATGCATCTTATCCATTCTCAAGGGAAGCATCATATCTAGCATCTATGTACTCCCAGGCAGACATTTTATAACTTATTTTTTGTTTTTGTGGTGATGTTTTATGATGAGAAATTAAGAATAAGAATTGTAAATGCAGTTTTAGAAACTGATGTTTTTAGGTGATTTTAGGTTGAATTTCAGAGAGAATGGCATCTTGGGATCATATGGGGGATTTTGCAAATATAGCACAGTTGACTGGTGTAGATGCTGTGAAGTTGATTGAGATGATTGTGAAAGCTGCAAGTACTGCAAGGATGCATAAGAAAAATTGCAGACAAATGGAGATTAACAGATCAAAAATCACTAGCAATAGACCTCCAAAAATGACTTCACGAACAACTTGAGGTACGTGATTAATTCACCAAACAAACACCAATGAACTTTCATGTTTTGATATTGTATCTGTTATACATATTCAAAGGAAGTTGCAGATTCCATGTTGTTTTAAATTCTGTAATAGCTGGCCGCTATCATGTCACCGAGTAAGTTATATTGTATTCGCTACTGATCTTATTAATACTATTACATTTTCCTTTCGATCTGTTGTAGTGCAACATTAGATATTGCCCTTCCAGGAAATTTTAACATTAACTTAACGATACACAACGAACTTTTCCACTCACCATTCCTTTCTGTTGTCGCATTGCAGGAACATTTGTTAAGGCTGGTTTCTAAAGTCATGTGTAACAATACATTTGATACCCTGGCCCCATTTTGATATGAGAAGAATGGCATTTGGCGTCAAGTTCAAGTTATGAGGCGATTGTTGGAACATTATTGGTAGGTCCAGGTTTCTGGAACATGGTACTATTGTTGGAACATGGTACTAAGTTTTTATGAATATTTAGGATCAACTCATCTATTGAAGTCGTGGAACATGAAGAAGCTTTGAAGAATTCCAATGCTTTGGAAATTTTCAGCAAGTATGTTTCCTTTTTATAAGAAGACCAATCTTTCTTTCTTCTATGCTTACTTTTTTCATTTCTCTTTGAATATTACCGCTGAATCCGTGTGATATCTTTTTTCATCTTGAATTTGCTAGGTACAATATAATAGTGGATGCAACAGATAATGATCCCAGTCGGTATTTGATCAGTGACTGCTGCGTGGTACTAAGAAAGGTACATCTTAATGTAGATCGGTATTTTCCCCCTAAATTTGTTTTCCTATAAATCATATTTCCTATCTTGAATTTGCACAAGTCCATTGAAACTATTTTTTTAATTATTTTGGTTCTACTTGTGCAGCCCCTTGTATCAGGTGCAGCCGTGGGATTGGAAGGACAGGTATACATCTAATTATTTTTTATTCTAACCCAAAAGCCAAAAAATTAGAAGTCCATATAGCACTTCAGAAAAAAATTCATTCTTAGGTCTGGACATGCCTCAGCGGGAGTTGCATGGTTGAACTCACATTAGATGCATGCATGCATTTACCAAATTACACTACTAGAGGGTTTATGATGAATAGTGATTCTACAAGCAGAAGTTCTCACTTTCTTAGGCAAGGGCATACCTTATTACAAAAGCATGAGACCTTCATCAAATGGGCCATCTCACAACCTTTCTCTAATGGACCAGGAGTTCAGGTCAACAACTCTAACACTGTAAGATAGGGGAGTCTAGAAACTCGAGGCGAGAACCTTAAAATATGCTCACTTGAGTGAGAAACTAAGTTGCGAAAATGAAAAATGAAATTTGAATTATTGTCCCACTTAATTCATAAGTTATTTGAATGTTGAAGTTTACTTTTTCATTTTAGTGAGACACTTTGTTTCCAATATGATTTTCAAAACTATAGTTTGGCATATTTCCATTCATCTAAAAACAGTGGAAAAGTCAAGAATTATTCTGCAACCTATATTTGTATTTGCGTGAACAGTGTAAGTTATCCTGCTGTCTTATGATTGTTGTTCTGACTTAGAGAAGCTAATGTATTTTTTCATGTGAACAGTGTAAGTTATCCTGCTGTCTTATATTGGTATATTATGGGCAAACCAATCGAAGCTAATGTATCTTTTCACACATGATTTAAGGAAGCTTGTGTACGATATCATGGATTCGGTAAGGAGGAAGATGAATGGGTTAATGTGAAAGATGGGATGCGAGAGAGATCCATCCCGCTGGAAGCTTCCGAGTGTCACAAGGTGAAGGAAGGACATCTTGTACTATATTTCCTGGTAATGGATTCCAAACTTTTATTTGCACTACATAAACATAATGGGTGTCTAATTGTCACATTATTGATGTCGTGTATGTGCGCACAATCAAATTCTTTTTGCACCTCAGACATCTAGATGTATATTTTTTTTCGTGCTTTTAGCTGATCCATAAATACCCTTAACCATTGATACTATTTTGACTGTCCATTGTTTTTT